ACAGCTCTCAGCAGTTTCTAATCATTCTAGTGGGATGAGTTTTTTTCACATCGGGAGAGACAAGAACCTAAATCTCTGCCGGCACTGCGGTGTACGATGTCGATGCTAGCCAGTCAAGTCGTAGGATCAACGTTCTTCCGGAAAATGCACTGACAACACGTGCCAACTGAGACACGGAGCACCCAAGGCGATCAGTAAGGTTCTTAGTGGAAGACTTGCACCTCTGGGGACGTACTTTAGCTTAGGTGAACCGGAGGCAGAAGAACACTAAAGCGAACTCTAAGTACTACATTTTACATGAGGACGACTGAAGGAGGTGGTCGGGTAGGCGTTAAATACACGAATGTGGCTGCCTTTAGCCCCAAGGTGATGAAGAGGAAAGGTGAACAGTACGGAAGACGGTAAGAAAAGTAAAAGAGGGAGGGGGAGGCAGCAGAGGACAAAAACGGCAATGGTCCTACAGTGGAAACTGCACATGACCGTTTCACTTGTGCATGTGCAGGGGACGGGGCTTGAAGGTTAGATGTCCAAGCGAAATGAGCTTTGCATTGATTGTAGATGGACATTTTTTTCGTTTTAGTAATAAAACCTGCGCTCGTGCGCTACAGCCACCAATAACGTAAAAGACACCCGTAAACGCAGATGGAGAAAAGGGGGAAATGCATCCGTTCCTTACCGGACTACCAGGGGGGCGGGGGAAGAAGGATTAAAATCCTCATGCCGTCAATAAATATTAGGGTATTTGAACTGCAGTAAGATTACTGGAGAAGAATGCTTGTGTGACTCTAGTAACCGACAAGGAATGTTTTTACGACTCCTTCCCCCTCTAAAGAACACGATCGATAGGTAAGGCTGTAGTACGGGAACGGTGGCAGTGAGGATCGGGCGGTTGAAAAGGCGATACCACGTTGGTAATGAACGAAATTTAGATGTCGAATGTCATCTTTCAAATGAGCTGGTGTTTTTAGCACTGAATTAGACCGTATTACAAGCTTTTCTATCCACGCCAACCTAACCCTAACCCTATGTTAATTAGCCGTTTAACCTGAGAATCAGTAAAGTGTAAGATCCGGTACCCTAACTGCTTCAAAGTGGAAGTGTAAAAATGCTTATTCTGCACTCCGAAACTTTGCTCTGCCATTTATTGGCGCGCCTATACTCAATGAACGTCTTTTGATTTCTCAACCGTCTCTTCGTAAGCATTTCCTTCTTTTCAAACAATCAGTGGCAACTCTCACTTGAGTAAACATTATTTTGAAACATTGACGAACAACATGAGAGCATATAGAACACAGGAAGCAAAGTTTTGACCAGGCCTAGTTTATTTCTTAAAGCCCTGATCTTCGCGAGGACTTAGTGACGGGAATTGCGCCAAGCTTCGACTAGCTATCAGGCTAACATGAGTATGGAGATCCCTGATGTCAGGGAGTTGTCACCTCTACCCTTGATCATAATCGAAAACTGGTTTCTCGTCTTTGCCATGTGATTTTACTCCCGTGGACAACGCTGACAAACATCATGGCCACTGAATGGACAGTACCTTGTACATCCATTTAGTCCGCGGCTATAAGTGCCTGGTCCCTTGTTATGAGATCTACTGCGCTTTTTCTAAACTCATTTTTTCCTCTACATTACGAAGATCGTGCCGGAATCGGTCGACCAACATCGCATCCAAACGGTCGAACCTGATGCCAACCGGTTATTTTGACTGGATCTGTACTGCACCCTCTGATACGGCTTGTTCATAACAATGGGCGATACGACAGCCTTGAATTATCAAAATTTTTCTCTGTCGATTTCGAGCGTCAGTCTTGCGATGACGCTCGTCTCCGTCCCTGCACGTTCATGGGTAATCAATAAAGAGAGGCTTAAATACTCATATCAATTCGCAGACTGCGCCTGACAAAGTTTGCCGCGAATGCTTTAAAAAACATTGTTTTAAAATTTACTTTCTGAGGAGAGAAAAAGGATGAAACTTTAAAAAAATTAGAATACCTTTTTGAAGCAGGCCCAAACAGCAAAATTTATTTGCGCAAATAAAAAAATATCCACTAGACAGCATACGGGAATACTGACTGATGAGTTAAATACCCCGCAGGTGTGTCATGGAGTGACGTAATATCGGTGAAACACGTGCCGGCGCCTTTAGCTGTGACCTAGGCTAGGGTGAATCATCGGGGGCAGTAGGTTGCGTAAATCCACTTCGCAACAAGTAACCACGGCCTCGTGCAAAACAGGAGCGCTGCTAACAGGGGCTTTTTACGGGTGGGGCAAAATGGTATCTAGGACAAAAATGTAGAGGTAAAAATAACAATAGTCGTAAATAAGAAGCTCGTTTTTAAGTATGCTCTTCAGTTTACGAAGCAGAGTGCATTTTGAAGAGCGGGGTGTCGTAATAATTGAGTCGCAAAGTGTTTTGTGAAGCGCTAGCAACTGCCAAGCGACCAATTTTCCAAAATTGTAACCCACCGACGATAGGTATTAATGATTCAAAAAAGTCATTTTTTAATTAGCTGATAATTAAATTAATGAATATTAATTGACTTGATTGTAAAATGTCTAAGCGATGGATAATTATGCCTGGTAATCGTAAGAAATAGCTCTAATTACTAAGCAAAATAAGTCGGACAATAGCGCGTAGCCCATAAACACGTTAACCGCTCCTTAAAAGCAAAGCATAAATCAGAACGTTCCTCCCCTGCAGTCAAGAGGGCTTTGCTGAAATAAAACACGGTCGACGTCTTTACAGCACGCGTTGTATGCTGCTTATTGAAAAGACACAAAACGATTTAAGTAGTCGCTTAGGAGATCTAATTAAGTCACAGCGCATGCCTTCGACAATAGGAAACATTTTATATGCCGTGAAGGCTCAAAAGCACAAAGACCATTTGTCTTCTTTACCGATACAAAGAATTGCTTCCGGTAGCTTTAAACTAATAAACAAGACAAGGCCTACTGAAGTAGGGCATGAATATTACACTTGGTGGGGTTATACAACCTATCCTTGCCAAATATATAAAATAATAGTCTTCAAATGGCAACCTAGTTTAACCAGAATGGAAGAAATAACTCCTGCTGGATGGCAGGAAGAGACAGCTAAGGCAGAAATTCGCTCGCATTGTGGGGGCATTTAAAAAGGACTATAGTGACCCTGCAGCGCCTTCCACCTGCGGCGCCAAGGCACTCATGAGGTCACGTGATTGCAAGTCTCGATCTGCCTCTGGGACGGCCAATCACAGGTGCTGCAAACTACGCCAACCCTCAACCTCTTGCCTCTCTCGGTGGCTAGCAAGTGCCCACACACCAATGCCTGCCTCTCCCAATCCGGTCTGGCCAATCATCTCCCTGAGGCTGACTCAGACAGAACCTCACATGATGACTGCCGCGCTGAGACACTTCCGACCCGGCCCCCTTGCGGCTGAACACGCACTCGTCCGACAGTCAACTTACTCCTACCTATTCTCCACTACCTCTGCACAGAATACACTGTTGCTTCCACCTGGCTTCTCACTTCTTCCC